TTTCTATATGTTTCACACTCTTATGGCTTCTAGGTTCTTTTGAATTAGCCACCGCTCCACTGTTGTCACAGTAAAGCTTAATTGGCTTATCCATATCTGGAACAACTTCCAGATCAGTTAAGAACTTCCGGAGCCATGTAGCTTCCTTTGCGGCTTCACAAGCTACAACATATTCAGCTTCCATGGTTGAGTCAGCAACACACTTTTACTTTACACTTCTCCATACCATGGCTCATCCATTAAGAGTGAACACAGATCTAGATGTCGACCGTCGACTATCTCTATCCGATTGGAAATCGAAATTCGTGTATTCGGTGAGAGATAGATCTTCTCCGAAATATACCAACATATAGTTTCTCATTCTCCTAAGATACTTAAGAATACACTTCACTGAAACCCAATGATCTAATCCTGGGTTCGACTGGTAGTGACTGACTAGTTCCACTACATAGCAGATATCTGGTCTTATACACAACATGGCATACATAAGGCTTCCCATGGCCGAAGCATAGGGATATCGTCTCATATCTTCTTCCTGCTGTGGAGTCTTTGGACATTGCTCCTTAGAAAGATGAATACCATGCCTAGAAGGCAAATTCTCTTTCTTGGAGTTCTGCATTGAGTACCTAGACAACACTTTGTCTATATAAGACGCCTGTGATAACGCCAAAAGCTTTTTCTTGCGATCTCAAATAATCTTAATCTCAAGAACATAGCTCGCCTCTCCCAAATCTTTCATTTGGAATTGATTGGCTAACCACTCCTTTACATCTGTCACCAATCCCACATCATTCCCAATGAGTAGGATGTCATCGACGTAAATAACTAAGAAGACCACTTTCTCTTCTTTCATGCACTGTAGACACATGGTTCATCAATGTTTTGATCAAATCCATAAGACTTTATAGCCTCATCAAACATGATGTTCCATGATCTAGAAGCATGCTGCAATCCATAAATGGACCTTTGCAACTTGCAGACTTTCTGCTCTTGGCCTTCCTCTACATAACCCTCTAGCTGGTCCATATAAATGGTTTCCTCAAGATAGCCATTCAGAAAAGCTATCTTGACATCCATTTGCCGTATCTCATAGTCAAAATATGCTGCAATGGCCAGAGTACCCGGATGGACTTAAGCATAGCTACTGGTGAGAAAGTTTCCTCATAGTCAACTCCCTCCTTTTGGGTATAACCCTTAGCCACTAGCCTTGCTTTATAAGTCTCTACTTTTCCATCCACTCCTCTCTTTCTCTTGAAGATCCACTTACATCCAATGGGTTTTGCCCCTTCGGGTAGATCTACAGGTTGCCAGACTGAGTTAGAGTACATAGACTCCATCTCGAGTTTCATAGCTTCTGGCCATGCTTCCTTATCAGAATCATCCATCGAATCCTTAAAGGTCGATGGATCCTCCTTACCGTTATCAGCAGTGACGATTTAGGCTTCCCCGGTATACCGGTCGGGTAACTTGCTTACCCTCCCACTACGACGAGGTGCCATAGGAGTCTGATCCAGAACTGCGGCCTTTTCTCTTAGTGGTCCGACAACTCTTGCCGGCTGTGGCCTAATCTCATCGGAAAGTAACTCTTCCAAAACTATTTTACTTATGGGTTTAAAATATATCATATAGTCATGCTCTAAAAACGTGACATTTGTCGATACAAAGACCTTTTGATCTGCCTGACTATAAAACAAACCTTCCTTCGTTTCATCAGGATATCCTACGAACATACACACTTCTGACTTGAGTTCCAACTTCCCAGTCTTTCCTTTTAGCATATGTGGCGGGCACCCCCATATGTGTACGTGTCTCAAACTAGATTTTCGACCGCACCACAACTTTAAGGGTGTTTTTGGAACAGACTTCGATTATTAACATAATAGCTTATTAACGCATGTTCTAATAATTAAATTGATGCCTTTTAGTAAACTCACCAAGACCTGCATAAAATTTTTTGAAAAGGCAACGAAAAAAGTTATATATAAAAAAGAATAAAAAAAAGTAACTCATGGGTCTTCTATTAGTGATCTGAAGCATTTTTCACGATATTACGTACTTCCAAAACAAAGTAACAATGCACCAATATTCAATGGAGGTGTTTATAAAAATATATTTTTTCTTCCGTACTAGATGAAGATATGGTTGTCAATTCGGGATCACTTTTGTAAAAGTAACACTGGGTGAGAAATCCCCGATTAAAGCTAAAGTAGCACTTATATTTGGCCAGGATGCAAGAAAGTCTAACTCGTGTTTCATTTACTATTCCCTTTCTTTGTTGAAGAAACGAACAAACGTGCATGTACATTTTTTTTTCTTGCTAAGAACGTGTTATGAACTTTTTTTTTTGCTTGTAGAGAACGTGTGTGTGTGTATATATATATATATACACACACACACACACACATTAAACCTGCGTACCTATCAGAATCCACTTCACTGTTTCCCAATGCTATTTGCCTGGATTACTCATATACCTACTGACCATCCCCACTGTATACATAATGTCCAATCTAGTGCTTATCGTAGCATACATGAGACTGCCTATAGCGGAGGCATAAGGCACCTTAGCTATATAGACTCGCTCATGCTCCGAAGTTGGTTTGTTCCTTCAACAGCTTGAAATGACTAGCCAAAGGAGTACTCATCGATTTTGCATCCTCCATGTTGAACCTCTTCAACACCTTCTTCGCATATTCCTCTTGTGACAGTTTTAGGATATTAGTATGACTTGTAATTCTCATCCCAATGATATGTTTTGCAGCACTTAAATCCTTCATAGCAAACTGCTTCGAACGAGCTACTAAAATTCTTCATGTATCAACAGTGATCTACAAGGCATCTTAAGAACCCAATACTGCTCATGAAACTGTAAAAATTTTTATACCACTGACTGGGAGCTTGCTTAAGACCATACAAGCTCTTTTGAAGTTTGTACACCATCTTCTCCCCCTTCACTCAAACCCTTGTGGCTGCACCATGTAAATTTCTTCCTTCAAGTCATCATGAAGAAAAGCTGTCTTCATATCCATTTGCTCAAAGAGCAAATCTTCCTATACCACCAATGCAAGAATTGTTTGAATTGTGATTAACTTCACCACCGAGGAAAAGGTATTCGTGTAGTCAATGCCCTCTTTCTGTTGAAATCCTTTTACTACTAGCCTTGTCTTATACCGTTTGCTATCGTCATGTTCATCTTTTATCCGGTATACGCATTTATTCTTCAAAACTTTCTTACCCTTTGGTAACTCAGCCAACTGCCATGTCTGATTGGACGTTAACGAGTTCATCTCATCTTTCATAACCAAATCCCACTGGACCGATTCCTTAGCCCCCATGGCTTCATTAACTCTCTGACTCTGCTCTGTGGGTCAATAAAATGTAATTCAACGCAGGAGAATTCCTATGTGGTGCCCTAACAGTTCTGCTAAACCTCTTGACCGTTGTAGCGGGAGTTCTCTGTACTTCTTCTTCTGAGTCTATGTTCTCATGATCTTCAACCCATGTATGCTCCTCCTCATTCACAGGACTATCTCAGTTTTCTTGGTCTCTGAAACTGAGCCTCCTGTCTCTGCTTTCAGCCTATCTTTATATAGGATCTCCTCATTTAAGATCACGTCATTAGTCTTGATCACCTTCCAATTTTGGTCATTGATAACTCTATAAATTAGAATTATTTCCGCTCCTATTTACTTTTAAATTGGCTTTGTTCTCGAGATTTTTATTCGTTTTTATATAATTTTTAGTTTAGTTTCATTTAATTTATTTTGTTTTATCTTCTTGTATGTTAGTTGATTTCATTTAGTTTCTTCTCTACAATCTGTATTAATTCTCATTGTGTTTAATTTAGGTGCGACGATAATAATTAGGAATTAATTGTGATTTAAAAAGGAGTAAAAATGAGTAAAAAGCAATTAAAAATCCGAATTCGCACTACAAGAAATAGCAACATCAGTAGCAGACTAAAAACGTTATTAATCACTAAGAATAGCACTTTTTAAAATACTAGGACAGCGGACGCTATAATAGGTCCTAAGAAAACATATCGTTTCAAGAGAGTTATAGAAAGCGCTATAAAATTGAAGTATTATAGCGTTAAGACAAGTTATTTTGATCCTCTTACAGCTCTTTAACATAGCTACAATACAAATTAATAACTTTTTTTCCTTGTTATATTCATATTATTGTAACTTTTTAAAATTATTATTGATATCCTTTTAAATTCATTGAAATAAATAATAATTCTGAGATATGTGATATATCTAAATAGGAACATTCAAATTAAAACATAAAAACATTCAACATATCAATTGTTATTAGTATCTACCAAGATGGCAATAAAATTACGTCTACAACATAATTCATACAATGTCCAAAACCTTAACATTCAAAACAAGTAAAGAAAACAGAGAAATCATCTCCAAAACGTCTCACTAGTGCAATGGTGAAGTAAATCCTTCCACCTTGACAAAATGCTTGAACAAAAAAATCATCTCCACTGTTTAACCTGTAAAAAAGTGAACCACTATCAGAACGATAATCAAACTCAACTAAAACTTTCACCATTTAAACTATAAATAAAGAAAGGACTGTGACCAGGCAAAAAAAAAAAAAAAAAAAAAAGGGAAAAATTAAAAAAAAATATAAAAAAAAATTACCCATCCAAAAAAATTAACCCCACCCCCCCCCC